CGCTCTCGGTTGCAAATTGTGATACTTTTTTTTTTCACGCGGAAAACACCGAACCGGGAGAGAGACGAAAACACGGCTTGCGCATGACGCATGTCCGCCCGTAGCTTTCTACTTCCGCTCTTCTTGGCCTAGCGCTAGTTTCACTTTGTTTAATGTGGAGCAACACAGTGTCGATCGGGCATCAGGACGTTGGCGCGCCGAGTTGTCAATGAAAACGGCGGAAATTTGATGCAGAAATAAAAGGAGCTGGAATGAGAAAGAAGCAGCCGGTGTTCGATTTGAAAAGTTCATTAGAAAATTGAACAAGCCGTTTGCTGCCCTTTGCGTTTGGTGCGATAAAGTCACGGCCCGCGGCATTCCTGTACAATTGCGGCCCCGTTTGTTTACATGACGGCTATTGTGGCTGTGGAAGTGAATCTAGATCTAGATAATCTATCTCTAGATACATGTATAATCTAGATCTACAATATATTTAGATATCTAGATTCTAGAGCTAGATTAGACAGCCTAGGCTATAATTTTAATTCCGTTGAGATCTCTAAGTAAGAAACACATTACAGGGGCACTAAGTGCAAACGGGACTGCAATTGTAATAGGAGTGCCGAAATCGTTCAGTACAGCGACAAAGGTGTTGCCTCCTTGATCCAATACTGCTCTACATCGATGTACAAGTTTAAAGTGAAAGAAATCTTTTTATGAGACACCAGCTGACAACAAACACTGGATTTTTAGTCACCAAGTCCAAACTGTGTCCAATTGGCTCAAATGCTTGTTAGTCAACTTAGTGCCTTTGTTTTTTTTGTGTGTTTTTTTTTTCAAGTACATTTTAATTTCAGTTGCCTATAGTTAACAAATATGACAGTTTTCCCTGCCAAAACCGTAGGCTAGATTTTCCTGTATATTGCCTCTGGATCTCACTGGTTTTACTCCGGCCTTTGGAGAGCGCGCGTACATGCCTTCCCGTGAATTTCCTCCTTTTTTGAAATTCCTGAGTGGCAGCTATGATCTTTGTCAAGCACATCTTTTTATGTTTTGTACACTTACATAATATATGGCATAATATACGACAAATGAACATTCTCCAAAACATGACGAACCTCACTCCCCAGATGATCATACAGTACTTTGCACTTGTGCGTTCAGTCAGGTAAGTACGGTATGGGTTCATTACACCAGAGACCTAACAATGTTTTAACATTGCTAGGTCGTCTCTGATTACACTTTCCAAAACTGTCATTTCTTCTTCTTCATCTTTAAATGGACACCTTAATCTAGGGAACAAAGGCTGTTGTGCAAAGCTGGTCCTCAAGGCTCCTGTAGGGTTTTGGGTCTCCCTTCCTAGTGTTGGGCCAATATTTCCTTCATAAAATTATCTAAGAAGCAAGACCTTAACAGCGTATGTCCATCATTGATCTGACCGAGTCGAGTACGAAGAAAGCCTTGAACCCCCCCCCCCCTCCCAGAAAACTTAAGTCCAATAATGCCCCCTATGAACACAAACCAGAGTCATGAGCACTTTCAACCAGCATGACACCAACTGAGATAATGGCATACCCTTGTTTAACAAAGTCCTGTCACAAGTGAATATGTAGACTTCCCTACAGCATGTGAATGCATCAGTATTACTTTGAAATGAGATGGCAAAAGACATTGAGTGCAAGCGTAGTTTTGATAAAACATAGTGCTCTCAAAAGTACCCTGTAGAATCAATAACCATCAGACTTTTAAACAATAAAAAAAGCCTTCTACAAAAAAGTATGAAAAGGTTGAGGAGGGGGTGGATCTCATCATGAAAATAAGAAGCCAGCTTGGAATAAGAAGATAAGAGTACAAAAAGCAAATTGCAAAGGTCTGAAGCAGACCTTTCTGGTATGTGAGTTCAAACACCCTTAGACAAGATTTACTGTCAGCAGCTTTGTGATGAGTAAATTGCACAGATGATCAACGAAGTCGATGTATCATTTAACAACCTCACAACTACTGTAAGCAAAATATACATTTCAACAGTACCAGGGAATGTTCCACAATCACTGTCATTGACAAACACAATGTGTTCTTCATATATATATATATATATATATATATATATATATATACACAGCATGCATCATTCATCAGCCAAACCAACATTCATCATCAATCCATCCAACCAATATGGATCATCCACGGACTCACTCTGCATGCATCATCCATCAACCCAACCAGCATGCATCATCCATCCATCCAACCAATATGGATCATCCATGGACTCACCCAGCATGCATCATCCACCAACCAGACCAGCATGCATCATCCATCAACCAGACCAGCATGCATCATCCATCAACCCAACCAGCATGTCCACCGACCCAGCATGCATCATCAATCAGCATACATAATCAATCGACCTAGAAACAACTTCTGTTTGCAACCACAAACAATCATTTCATTGGTTACCTGGTATCTCGGCCCCGTCTGTTTTGCCCAGGTTATTGGATGTCTCAATAAACACAAGAAGACATCATATTCACGATGGGTTACAAAAGTTATTACAGTCCAGCATGCACATAGCAAAATCAGCCAGATGTGGAAATCTTTTTGTGATGTACGAATTTTGTATGTTTTAGTAAAGTTTTTTCGGCGCTCGCAACTGCATAAGGTCATATGAGCGCCAAGGGGAGGATTTAAACAGAGAAGTCTTTACAGGGAATCAGACTTACTCTGCTCACCTCTCTAGCTTCAACAGCATAAAGTCTGCTTCGACTATCAAGGCACCCCGGAAATAGAAGGTCACAAGAGTGTGACAAAAATACAAAAGAAGTAGAGGAAAAATGACGATTTCTTTTTTTAAGTAGAGGGTTTTACGGCGCTCGCAACTGCATAAGGTCATATGAGCGCCAAGGGGTGGGTGTCAACAGAGAAGTCCTTACAGGGAATCAGACTTACTCTGCTCACCTCTCTAGCTTCAACAGCACAAGGTCTGCTTCGACTATCAAGGCACCCCGGAAATAGCAGGTCACAAGAGTGACAAACATACAAAAGAAGTAGAGGAAAATGACAATAGTAAGGATAAGGAAAGAAAAAGCAGCAGTTCCCTGTTGCAGATCAGGCACAGTTATGAGCGTGACATGAATCAGCCCATTTACAATTCTATTGTGCTTGAACGAGAAATGTTCCCCCTTTGGGAATGGCCTAAAGACACTACAGTCAGTGGCACTGCTCCGGGGGGAAAAATGACGATAGTAAGGAATAGGAAAGAACAAGCAAAATGACGCTAGTAAGGATTAGGAAAGAACAAGCAAAATGACGATAGTAAGGATTAGGAAAGAACAAGCAAAATGACGATAGTAAGGATTAGGAAAGAACAAGCAAAATGACGGTAGTAAGGATTAGGAAAGAACAAGCAAAATGACGATAGTAAGGATTAGGAAAGAACAAGCAAAATGACGATGGTAAGGATTAGGAAAGAACAAGCAAAATGACGATAGTAAGGATTAGGAAAGAACAAGCAGTAGTTCCGTGTTGCAGTTCAGGCACAGTTATGAGCATGACATTGATGAATCAGCCCATTTACAATTCTACTGTGCATAAGAACAGATTAATGTCCCCCCTTTGGGAATGGCCTAAAGACACTTCAGTCAGTAGCATCGCCCCGGGGGGGGTAACAGACTTTGCTATTATGTACATATTCATATACAGGTGTATAAGAACAAATTCAGGACCTGATTTTTTTTGGTTCCCTATGTGCATTTTTCTGTATGTGCATGCTAGATTGTATAACATAAGGTGTACATGACACACAGAGTCTAGACCAAAGTTTATCTTTAATTAGCATCAAAATCTATGAACAAGTACAGTGTTATCCTGATATATCGACATTAACGGGGCCTTCATCATAACTTCAAAATGAGGCAATGCCAATATACAAGAGCAGTAATGAACAACTCTAGAACCCATGGAGAGAAAAAGAGGTAAAAACTTAAGTAAACTACCAAAATACTGACGGTACGCTTATAACACAGATTTCCTTTCTTTGGTTGATGGAGCAACATTAATTAACTTTCTTTAGCTTGTCATAGCTTGTCATAGCTTGTCATAGCTTAGACATGTCTGGTCTTATTTAAGTCAGTGACATGGCATCAAAACAAGAGACACCAAAAGCTCCCCCTGAAGCACATCCCTCTCCCCCCCCCCCCTTAAAAAATCTGTAAGGGAACAAAGAAATAGTTACATAAAATGGGTACTGGCCAGTATGTACCTTAGGAGCTATTGGATTGTCAGTTAAAATCTGTGAAATTACGCTAGTTATGCTATATTTCTCGTGGAACAGAAGGGGAACTTAAGGGCTCGACCACTACATTTTCAGTACACATGATTTGATTTCATAACACAGGAACACACAGCTACCCACCAATCTCAACATCATCTCCCTACACAACTCCAAACAACAGGGTCCTTGTTCACACTACTCCAAGTGGAGCCTGCCCTCCCCTGCCACAACATGAAGAGGGAGAGCTGGTACGACTATTATAACTATATTCATTGTGATAGTATAAAGCGCATTGAGCACTTTCTTTGTGCAACTGCACTATATTAAAGGTAACTTTTTACTGTTATTATCATTATTATTTTTATTATTGTTATTATAATTATTGTTACCATAACAAGGGTGTAGACTGTTCATGTTAATATGATGGACAACCAAGGTCAAAAGTGTCAATAAAAGAGAATATTAGGAATTAATTAGTCACAATATGATTCATTGAATGGTAATATGTAACAGGGGACATGTTGAGACTTCAAGATAATTTCGAAACAACAAAGTAAAAACACATATGATAATGTCGAAACAAACAAAAAAAAACAACCCACAAATAATGTCGACATAAGAGGATGAGACTGTATGTTCTCGGTGAGATTCTGAAGATCACTCACATTTCAAATCAAACATTTACACGTCACACACATGCTTCGTGTGTACAGTGGACAGGGATAATAAAATATTTCTGGATTTTTATCAATTTCGAAAAAATGGTTTCCCTACAAATAGTCAAGTTCAGAAAACTAAATGGCACATCAGACCTTTAACCAAATCCAAATGCTGACAAGTCATTTGGCACTCATTCAATACTTCAATACTGTATAATTATAATGCTACAGTGAACTGGTAAAACCTAGTAAGGTTGTTTTGCTGAAATTTGACAAATCAAGCTTTAGTCCACATCGGTACAGTATAAAACAAAACCTTTCAAGCTCCTTTCACAGTGAAAAAGCGGTAAAACAAAAACGTGTCCTCAGACTCGCCATGATAAAATAACAAGGAAAATTGGTCCAAATCAAGACCAAAAGGGGCTAAAGTAAAAGTTTCATGTACATCAACTATATGAAAAATGATACGGCAAAACCAAGCAAGTCAAAACCAAAATCAAAGACAAAGTTAGCAAAATCTAGACTTGCTAGATTTTACCAGACAACTGTAAAATGGGCATCCTTCTTTTGTCTTGTTCCTCATGGTAGCTGCTACTGTTGAGGTCATCGTCAATGGACACCATTTATGGCCAACACGTGCTTGAGCTCTGTCTTGTAGCACAGATACACAGACAAGACCAGTAAAAAGATGTTCCCAGTCCGCAGCGGGCCAAACAGCAGAGCGTACATCCCGTACGCCGACGGGAACTCTTTGAAGCCAATGTACAAGGTCAGGAAGAGGAGGAGGATGAAGGGGAGGAAGATGGTGAATACATGGCGGGCCGTGACCCGGTTCCCATGCTTGCGACGGGTGTCCAGGAGGTGGCCCAGCAGTGTGACTAGGGGAAGGCTGAAGCTCAGCAGCTGTGGGGACGACAGACATAGATGTCTTTTAGTAAAAGTTTTACAGCACTTGCAACATAATAAGGTCATATAAGTGCCAAAGATTAGAGGTGTTACAAGAGAGTAATAAGGTCATATAAGTGCCACAGATTAGAGGTGTTACAAGAGAGTAACAAACACAAAATAGAAGGAGGGGAGATAAGGACGATAGATGTTTGATAGGAAAAAAGGAGCAGACCACACCAGAACACCTACCAACCACCCACAGAGACAGACATTACTCAGAACACTGGACAGCGGAAACACAAAACACATATCTTGCTTCCTAACTTTTCTTTGTTTGAGTTGGTTTTTGGGGGTTTTTTTAAAAAGTGTTTTACAACATCGCAACTGCATAAGGTCATACGAACACACTGAACACATTTAACATTTTCAGTTGGAAACTTGGAATTTTGCGCGCATGGAAAATTATTGATTTTAGACCACAAAGGGATCTTTAATAAGCGCAACTTGCACACAGGACCTCCAAGATTTTTCATCCTTGTCCGAGAAGGCTAGGTGTAGATCTTTTCTACCAGAAGATCAGGGGTGTGGCTGAAAGATAGCAGTAAGAAGGAGCCAAGGAGTGGCAGTAGAAAGGCTGCAAAAAAAGTCAGGAGCCCAAGTGAGGGGGGAAAGGAGGTGAAGAGGTGGGGGTAGAAAGTGAACATGAAAGCAGACAACAGAACATTGATAGAGGGTTAGAAAGGAGGTGAAAGGAGACAATTTCGGATTCAAACCCGAGACCTTTGAATGAGAGGCGAACACTTTAACCTCAAGGAAAAGAAGCACAACGAGACAAAAACGCCAAGAAAGTGCTGGTTAAAGCAAGGGTGAGACTTCATGGTTTTTAAACATTGTTATTTATATCGTTGAGTTGAAGTTCATTGCAAGCCAGCCTGATAACTGCCTACTCTCTCAGGGACAGATCAAGGTAAAAGAAGAGTTGAAAAAAAGAAGAAGAAATAGAAGACCACATCAGCGAGAGCAATCCCCTCCCCCCCACCCCCACACACACACTCACTGCCAACATTACAAAATCACCATCCATTTGGCCGGATGCTCACCTGAAAGATACCATAGAAATAAGTGATTCCCCCTGGTATAAAGGCTCCTTGCACGATCATGCCCCACACAAAGACCAAGCCTGTCCGGCCTCTGAGCAGGTCTCCCACGAACCACGGCCCTGAGGACAAAGAAGGCAAGATGGTGTACTTTTGTCTGAGTAGAAGAGAACAAGTCACTAACTTTCACGTGCGAACACAATACATCCCACTGAACTCCTACCTAAATAGGATCCGCAAGGATACCCCACCCGACTGCCCGCTGAGTGACTGCCAGGATAAAACAGTATCACACCACCTCTTTACCTGCCCTGCACTTAGCGACATGCGTAATACCTACCTACCTGCCTCCCCAGATATCAGAAAAACTCTATACAACGACAAAACATAGCTGATAAAAACCTGTAAATTCTTTGCCATTTAGACAGGCCAAAGGGCTATAACTCAGATGGCCACTGGGTCGGAAAAGTAAAGTAAAACAAGTGTACTTTTGTAGATCTCACCCTCTGCCCACACACAAGGCCATCTCTCTTTCTCACTGTGTACAATATATAAAAGTATTATAAAAATAAGAGAAACACTTGAAACAGACTAAATAACAACAATATTTTTCTTTCTGTTGGAACAATGACATATACTGTTTTCTTCAGAGCAAAGATTTTAATGTTTTTACATAGGATGAAACCACAAATAATATTTCAGCTCCAAATACAGTGGTTTTCGGATTACACGATCAACAAAAGTAATTAAACTCCCTTCTGCAATTTTTATCAATAAAAAGAGTTTGATTCTCTACAAGTTAATCACTGAAATCTGTAAAGTGGGTCAAAAACCATACCATCACCAAAAAAAAAGCAAGAAAGAAAAGCCCCCACCTCAGTCTTGTACTTTGGACAACTTACCGAAAGTCAAGTAGAGGACAGAGCCTGTGACAATGTAGTAAGACGGGTTGGTTCTGGCAGCTAACCACATCTTCATTAGCCAAGAGTTCAGAAACTGACATATAAAATTTCTCCCTGTAAATATAGAAACAAACAAAAAATGACATTTCCAAATGAGGATGCAACTTCACTCATTATCTCCAGCAAGCCGCTCCCAGCGGCTCACGGTCGGAACCACGGAGCCGCTGATTACTTTTGGCAATTGCCCAAAACAGGTCTGTTTTATCAGGAGTTCATTCATTTGATGAAGAAGTATCGAAATAGGTTCACTTGTTTTGATTTCATGACCAATTTAGTGACGATTTTATCATTTTTAGATTTAGTATCAAAAGCGGGCCCTGGCATAGTGGGTTTACCCCCCTCTGAGAAAAAAAGCAAACTACAAGAAAGGGTTCTTGTTTCTGAATTTGTAAATCAGGTAATTGTTCACATAATGATTTATAAAAGCTACTTTACCAATGCTCCATACACACACCACAGCACTGCATGTATTACCTTATCTCTGAGACACAGTTCATAATGTCATCACTCAAATTGTAACATAATAATTCTAATAGAACTTTTTTATCGTAAAGCAGTACTACATGACATGAATTCTGTGCAAACAATGCCATATAAATGCTGTTTACCACAGCCTTGCATCTAGCATTTTTAGCTCATGTTTAAGTGCTTAGCTCAAGGAAGTAAACATACTTCTAAAAGTGACGGCACCAACATCACCTGATATTCTTTGTGAGCCTATGTTCTCAAACCATTGTATTACCAGGGTCCTCTAAAGGTGTTTTAGACCTCCATGGCAGGTGAATCACTTGCAAAAAATTGCGTAAAATTTAAGGTTGGCTTTGAGCCTGCTCTAAACAGATATTGAGTCTGGCAAAAAAAACCCTTGAAGTTCCATTCTGACACAGGTATGTACTCACCTTGGAAATAAAATGTCCTAATGTTGGAGCACTGTCTAAGAGATGTAAGGATCAGAGTGAAGAGGAACGCCATCAGGCCATAGATGAGCTTGCCCTGGGAGAAGAACAACAGAAACCTACAGTGACAACATATAAAATGATAAAAACTTGAAGGACACAAAACAGAAACGGGTTAATAACAAGTAAAAGCAATGGTCTTCTACTATGAAGAAACCTGACACACCCTAGTTTCTTGTATTGTTAGGTGATATCACTAGCGAAGGAAGGAGCATTTCGGTACTAAAAATGACACTTATACTTTTACTTTACTTACTTTTCCAATCCAGTGGCCATCAGAGTTCTAGCCCTTCGGCCTAAAAAGGACACTTATGAAAACTAAACTTTAAAAAAGAAAAATAAACACCCTGCCCACACGCACCCCACCACCAATAAGTCAAAAGAGAAAACCAGAAAGTGGAACTTCACTGCAGTGATGCTAATAATGAACAGAGATCATCAACACAAAGAAAAAGTAATCCCAAACACATTTAACTCTTTATCTCCGGCAAGCTGCTTCCAGAGGCTCGCTGTTGGAACCCCTGTACCGGTGAGCAGCTGACAGCGGCTGGGGCGCATTCCTTTACGACGACTTCGACATCAAATTACTTTTCAGCAAGTGCCACAAACAGCTCTCTTTCATCCGGAGTTCATTCGTTAGATGAAGAACTATCCAAATAGGTTCACTTGTTTTGATTTAATGACCCATTTAGTAACGCTTTTGTCATTTTTAGATTTAGTACCAAAGAAGGGGCCCGGCATAGTGGGTTTACCCCCCACAGAGATAAAGAGTTAAAATATAATAAAGTATAAAAAACATTCAAAACTGATAATGGAGGCAATACAACAGTACGCACCACAGAGTAAAGATTCAACATTAGCAGGAGACGAGGTAAAAATTTAAATGGCATCTGGCTACCATCCAAAGAGAACGTCTGTTCTACTCTCTTTGTACGGCCACGGGCATCCTTTGAAAAGAAAACAAAAAGAAATCCAACCATTTGTAGAATCAAGTATGACAATTATGGATCATGTTTATACAGTACACATTCACTGAGCTCATGCTCAATGCACACTATAACAAAGATCACCTTCAACATGTCTCTAAATATAATTTGTGTCACGACACGGTGGAAGCAGGCACTTGTCAATTTTGGGGCTTATGAAGTTATAGATATTATGTCAAAATTTAGCTGTTTTCTCCCATTTCACAATTTTGACAAGCGCCTGATTTCACCAGAATACCTAACATTTCATAAATGGCAAAACAGATGGATAAATGTGAACACTTGGTCTACTTTTCTATAGACAAGACGGTCAGCCCCCATTTGACCGACAATTTAGTTCATTTGATATGGTTCTTGACCACTGTGTGGAAGACTGGTTCAAATAACATTTTGAACCCACCATTTTTGAAGATTTTTTACAGGCTGAAATTACCTGAAATTGAGTTGAAATTGGTGCATATACAGCAAATTTTGTTAACACAAGAGTCATTTTGGTCTAAATCTCTGTAACATTGCCCTCTGACATCTAACTTACACAATATCCTATGTATAAAGAAGGAACATCTTGTGAGCCCGTCCTGGCTCTACAACTTAGCAACAGGCTGAAGGGCACAAGCCTCAGGACAGCTGGATGAACCGTGACAGCAGAGCAACGCTACTAATTCCCCCACAGAAGTAAACACTGGTTTCTGTTCTCTGTACAGTTCCCCCCCCCCCCACCCAAAAGTGATTTCTCTTCTCTGTACAGGACACCCCACCTCCACTCCTCACCTTGACCACAACCCGTAGGTCATGGAGGCCGTGGGCGTACTGCTGTGGTGTCCAGGCCAGGGTGTAGAGCGGTCCGTCCTCCTGGCTTGCCTCCCCCAGCAGCCGACCATCCACGGTCACCTCCACTACAGACACTGGATCGGGGCTGAACACTAGAACTCTGGGGGAGGCACAGACCAAATGTTATAATAATAATAATAGACTATATTTGTTCAGCACAAATTCCCACTCAGCAGCAAGCTCTATGTGCTTTACAATCTTTACTATGTAGTGAAACAAACTAAACGCCGCTTTTGGCCTTTTTTTTTAGTCGAGGTATTACGGCGCTCGCAACTGCATTAGGTCATATGAGTGCCAGATGGTACCTGCCAACCACCCACGCCTTTGGCTTGCATAAAATGGAATCATGAAAAATAACTGGTTCCTTCTAATAAGGGATGCAGACATCAGATTTCAAATGAACACCGTGTTAAGCTTTCTAGACAGAGCCACACAGCCATGCTTTCGACCTGTTATCTTGTTTGATTCCCCACCTCCTTTCATTATTTACTTTCTTGTGATGTGTCTGTCTTTAAATGAAATATCATCATGAAAATAAATGGAAGCTGCTAAGGGAAAATGAGCCAGTTGGACTGATGTAAGTAAAAGATATGAAAGACCTGGACTTGGGTTCCAGAGAGAACATCCCTCAACCATTTTGACATTTCTCATGGTCCACACGGACTTATCATATAGAAAAGGAAAACGGATCCAGCAGTGGAGAGGAAAGTGAACTCTTTGAGCCCTGGGCTCAAGGTCCTAATTTTACCCAAATCCTGCCCTCCTAGATCCTGAGCATCCAGGTTTAGGGAGACAGAAATCAAAACATGTGTGAAAGAGCAAAGACATGTTGGTATCCCAAGAAAGGATTTTGACAGAAACTAGCGTTCTTGTTGATAGAAAATTACTGCCTTTTCCTGCCCGATAATTCAGCGCTCTTTCCTCACTCTAGTGAATGGGTACTACGAATAATTGTTGCAGAAGTGAGCCACGGGTGAACCGGTGCTATGGATAATTGTTGCAGAAGTGAGCTACGGGTGTACCGGAGCTATGGATAATTGTTGCAGAAGTGAGCTACGGGTGCACCGGAGCTATGGATAATTGTTTCTGAAGCTAACCACGGGTGTACTAGTGCTATGAATAATTGTTTCTGAAGCTAACCACAGGTGTACCAGTGCTATGGACAATTGTTGCTGAAACTAACCACGGGTGTACCAGTGCTAAGGATAATTGTTGCTGAAGCTAACCACGGGTGTACCAGTGCTACGGACAATTGTTGCTGAAGCTAACCACGGGTGTACTAGTGCTATGGATAATTGTTTCTGAAGCTAACCACGGGTGTACTGGTGCTACGGTCTCAAAAAGTTAACTCACACTACCAAGCAATGTCAAGGATGTCGGTGCCACAGATGTGATTTTGGCAAGACTTACTTGACATGTGACGACCTCTCTATCAGCTCCACGGGCTCGTTCTCCGCTGACAGGAACTGGCTGTCCTTCGGGTTGAGGACAACGACCAGCGGCCAGTCTCCCAGCTGGGCATCGGTGAAGGACATCAAGTCATGGTCAAAAGCCATCACCCTGAACCTGGAGGTAAAAAATTATGATTAAATTCCTTTATTATCTAAAAGTTCAGCATGTGTTTCTCAACTGCAGATTACTATATCAGATCTTTTACGTCACATATATTTTTGGTATTTTCCTGTTTAACATCTGTTTCGTTAACAGACTTATCTTAAATAAAAGGATAATGTTTGACTTACTTTTTTCATGGATATTTCCTCCTTTAGTTTCTTCTTCTTTTTTTTCCAGACTTTTTTCTCTTTTTCTTTCACATGATTATTTGTAAGAAACATATAAAGTCACTAAATCACATTATTACGCAAGACTGAAAACTCTCATATATATCAAAGTTACTATTATATTCAGACCTACTCAAACGACCACCGGTCCAAATGTTCACTTCCCATTTCTCCCTTCGAATATTTTTTATATTATTATGGCATTGCCCAAAAATATTCACCTGCCTAAGACAATCATTCTTCTTCTTGATAATGGGAGGCAATCTTTGACAATTTTGACTGTATTAAAGTCAATATACTATCTCAATCTCTCAGGTTACAGACATGGTCAAAGCCTGTAAAAGCATTACTTTTTTTCACATAGTTCCTCTCTACCGATAACCACATGCCTGTCTGCAGCTGGGAAATCTAAGAAAATCAGGGAAGAAACCCTTTTCTAAAGACAGTGCATTTTATTCAGCAGGGCCAGAAATCAAACACACTGACAAAGCAATCAGACAGACAACCCACTGCCCCAGCCATGGCAATCCCCTCCAACCCCCCTGCCTTTATTATAATTCTTCCCCAAAGGACAGACTTTCACATCCATTCACAACCATGCCATTTTTTCCAAACCTGTTCTCTCCTCCCTCCTTGCATATTGCACTTGCTGCATTAGTGCAGCAGCCCCCCACCAACCAAATGTGTCACGAAGTGGTGGAATCAGGTGCTTGTCAATTTTTGGACATGTGTGGAGTTATTGGTATCATCTTAAAGCTTGTTCATTTGTCTTGCTTTCGGTGAAGAAAAATACTAAAAGGTCCAGATATTTGTGATTGAAGGAGGTTTGGGTCGCCTGGTTTCAGAGGTAAAATTAGCTAGAAAATGGCCGCTCAAGTTTGGCAACTTCCTAAGCCAAAGCTTGAGAGTTCTTAGAAACGGTAAATTTACATTTTTGGGCCATAAATCAACACACTTCAGTAAAATCCACATAGAAATGTGTTTTTAAAAGGACCTTAAATGTGTTGAGTCAAAAAACAAAAAATTCGATAAAAATCGGTTTTAAAAAAACCCAGCAGTTTCTTTGATTTTATTATTTTGACAAGCGCCTGATTTCACAACGATGCCTCTCAAATGTCCCTTACTTGCGGTTTTCCTTCCAGTCCCCCAGCTCCAGCTCCAGCTGTCCAGTCTTGTGTTTGCTGTACATCTGTGGGACAGTGTCGCCCAGGGTGTGGAGATGACCGCACAGGTATGCAATGCTACGCCTGAAGAAAAAAAATAAACATCTGTATAATTACTTTTTTTTCGGGGGGAGGGGCAAGTGTTTTATGGTGCTCACAACTGCATAAGGTTGTATGAGCGCGTGGACACATTAAGCACTTTCAGTTTGGTAGGAATACATTCTGAATTTTGCCCTGATGCTGCCGAAGCCTACTCTTGTTGAATCTGTATTATACATCTACATTTCTGCAACTAACAAAAGTGCACTAGACACAAAAAAGTAGTAATTTTGCAGCAAGTTTCCTTTCAACACACATTCAACCTACTAAGTATCTGCACATCCGCCTGAAAAAAGAAATATACATCTGTATTATGCATCTGTATACCTGCAACTAACAAGATTACACTACAGACAAAAAAGTAATTTTCCAGCAAGTTTCCTTTTCAACACATGTTCGATCCATTAAGTATCTGCACATCTGTATTAGCCTGAAACTTCCGTTCCCCGATGAGACATTTTTGTATGATGTTCAAATTTAATTTTCAGAGAAACAGAAGTTTCTTTTTACAAAAGTCCAGTAAACTGACATTTAAGTATGATGCTAAAGTGTAGTTTACAGCCACTTAAGCTATTTTGAAATAGCACTGAGACAACACCTGTTTGACAACACACTTTATTGAAGTTTTAGAATGATGTAAATGTATCAGCTACCTTACAATTATTGAATTGTTTTTACAGGCCAGTAGAACGAAACCAGAACACAAAACTACTGTCTCAGTATGACATTAGAGAACACTGGAAGAAACTTTCTACTAATTTTCATCAGCCATTTCTGCTATAAGCTGACAAAACACCTTGTTTTCATTTTTGGCGCCAACATTTTTTAATTACTTTATCTAAAACCTAATCAGTTACCCTACTTGTGTGAAAAAATCAAAGTGAAACTTTGAGTAGTTTTTTTCATAAACTAGAATTCAGATTTCGAAAGAACACCTTTTTAAATGGTTGCGATGATAAAAAAGCCCCTTTATCTCGAAATTGCTGGGAATGAAAAATAGCGTTTTGTCAGCTTACTGCAAATTTAACAAAATATCCAGGAGATGATAACAAGACGGACGACTTACCTCATGATGGACCGCAGCACAGGAGGGTCATGCACAATGAGGGACGTTGGGAAATGGCCAAACCAGACGGTGTGATTGCTTTTACGGGTGGACAATTCCAAGCCACGCAGGTGCTGAACCTGACTCTGTGGAGAGACAGTTTGAGTTTACAGGAGGGAGGGAGGGAGAGAGAAAGTGAGAGAGAGAGAGAGTGAGAAAGAGAGAGAGAGAGAGAGAGAGAGAGAGAGAGAGAGAGAGAGAGAGAGAGAGAGAGAGAGAAAGAGACAAACAGACAGACAGACAGACAGACATGCAGACTGAGAGACAGAGAGACAAACAGGCAGACAAACAGACAGAGAGAGAGAGAGAGAGAGAGAGAGAGAGAGAGAGAGAGAGAGAGAGAGAGAGAGAGAGAGAGAGAGAGGGGGGGGGCATTGAGAGAAGGAGAGGGGGTGGAGAGAAGGAGAGAGAGAGTGTAGTTTGAGTAAAGAGAAACATATTGACAGAATAACATTCATCTAGCAGAGGGAAAAAAACCAAATACATCGAGAGAAGCAAAGGAGGGATAGAAAAGAAGTATCACAAACAAATGATGCCCTCAAACCACCACTGTGGTGAGATGAAATCAATAAACAACACACAGAAAGAAACAGCAACTAAGACTTGCAAGACGCAGAGTTCAGAGTCAACATTCCCTATAATGACACAACTGATTTCAGCACTAATGTCTTGCTCTTTCAGTAAAAAGATAAATTAAAGTACACACAGAATCTGGAGTCATGAAGGCCTTGTTAACTCTTAGTGTACCACAAGCTATCAACACACCATAAAATATTGTAAATGAAGGAATTAACATTTAAGAGTACAAAAAAGATTTAAAGCAAGATGCACACAAAAACTGGTAACAACAGCATTCGAATGACTTATACCTTTGTAGGAAAAACAATGTTTCACTCCTTTTAAGAATACTCACATCATCCAAGTAGCCAAAGAAATTAAAAGGCCTATTGGGTCCAGGCTTACTGCAAGCATCAAAGCCAACAAAAGAATAAGAGCCAAAGGGAAGATTCAATGTGTGATAGTAAGCTCGTTCAAAATGGTGATCTTTAGACAGGGCCGGGCCATGGGCAGAGTAAAACCTGAAATCAACAAGAACATTGTAGAATTAAATTACCTTGGTAATTTGTATATTGCTAGCTACTGTTTGAGTAGAATGAAAGCATATTTCACATCATCAAATGCATGTTTTTCAACAACTGTTTGAGTAAAGGAGAAGCTCATATATATCAAAGAAGGTATCATCATTTTGAGCTGGGAAAAGCAAGACAGTTTGAAACAAGATAGAGGCAGTGAGGAAAAAGACCTACATATTATGATTCCCTCCTAGTAATGACAGAGGAGGACAACAAAGGGATATATATATATATAGAAATGGAACGTTAGGAGCACTCAAGACAAAGGACAGTGTTAGTGCTGATTGTCTTCAGCTACCGTGCTCACTAAACATGATGTGACTTTATCTCTGCTAAAGATGGGGGAAAAAAGCGATGTACAGCGTAACTGACTACCGTACTATACATCTCCCAGGGGACTGATGTGGTGATATCAGAACAAACAAGGATGACCTATGCAGTTATGAATATGATTTGAAGAACACCTTCAGGTGAAAGACATAAACAAGATTTTCCTCGCTCAAAAGTTGGTGTCGAGCACTTTACAATATTTTTTTCGTAGACAGACTATGTAACAATCTGAAACATTTTCAGCTTCTCAGGAAGCATTCAGTGCAAGATACATTTACATTCACTTGGTCCCTTTATGAGTAAACTCTTTCTAAATAAAGAAAATGACTAAAGCAAAATGACACATCACATAGCATGATGGAGGACACACCTGACCACAGTGCAGATAAAAATTTCAGAAAACACGGAACCAAAATTTTCATAAAATAAAACACATCAACACACCTGTAATAGTTGTTCTCACTATCAAAGTTGAACACATCAAACGAATCTGGAGGAAAAGAAGAGACCAAGGAGAAAATCATTTTATCAGGTCATGAAGGGTCATGAATGAAAACAAAATAAAATCTAATGAATGAAAAAAGAATAAAACTGGCTTTCCAAAGCAAAAAAGCCATTTCAAGTTCAAGTAAAAAGACCAAACATATTAAATTTCATTTGCTCAGATGTTTGTCAATTAAGAGGAGACACAGCATTTCATTTAGATATGCCATTGTTTCAAACTATGTGTATGCATCTGTCACAGTCTTTTGTTCTGTAGTTACTGACCCATCTCTTGGGGGAGACGATGGGGTATGAAAACTGATTATAATTTAAAAGAAAAAAAGATTACATTGCCCCAAGTTGATAACTGACTCTAACGACACTGGAGTGGAAAAAAAATTGAGACTTCACATAAATTAAAGAGCTGAATTGACATAATAACAATGCTCATTAACTGATTCCGTCCATTCGGCTGCTGACAGCGGCTCTGAGTTTTTTCCTCTATATCCATTCGACCACTGTGAGCGGCTCAACAAAATCCGAGCGAAATCCGAAACATATGTGCACTTTTTAAAACATAGTTCCTTCTTTTTAATTGGTCGAAAGGAAGTAGAACTTGTAAACAAGCCTGACCTCAATCTCCGAGCGTCAATATCGATCGAAACTCCGCGAAATTCTTGCAAAATCGTTGTTTTGTTGTCGCTATGTTGGCTAGATCTAAGGGTAAATAACACGGAGCCTGGTATAAGAAAAAAGCCCTTCAAAGAAAGCTATTCAACTCAATTTGTGAAATTCTTGCATAAATGTGTGCTAAAGTGATATTGCTACAATTGTGCGTTGATTCCTATGGATTATAAGGACTTGTAGAGTTGAGAAAATGTGGTAAGTCGAAATTTTCTAAGAGGTGTTGCGCAATATTTTTCTCTCATTTGTTTTTGTCTGACGGAAAATACAATACAAACAGATTATAGGTCATTTGTTATTGATATAAACAGATTCCTCTATAGATTCCCATCACTTTGGTATATGACAATACATATTAGAGTAACTTAGAGCGTCACAGTAATGCATTAAATAGATGCACCCCAGGTTTAAAACTGAACAAGGAAAAATAATTCTGTCCAGAGCCTGAAAAAAACATGGATGGAATCAGTTAAAATCATTATCTTATCTTACTTTTGAAAAAGACACAAAACATTATTTACAACGCTCAGCATTATGATCACCAGTTCCCAATTTTACCATGGTTTCCTCTGACATCAAGCCATTCAGCTTTGGCAAGAGTTCTACAGCGTTTGACAATATTGCTGTACAATATCCATTCACTTTCCATTTGTTTCGACTCAATGTTGTTCACCAGTTTGGCATCTGTCAAATCACCTGAGATGAAAACAGAAATAAATAATCTTAACAAAGTATTTCAACCAATTCATCATAACAAATACATTCTAGAAATTTTTAAAAACCACTTTGAAGCCTCATCTTGCTGATCGGCGATGTTTACCGGCCAGTTTCTTTGGATTTTCCCCGAAATGCCTTTGCCTTTGATGACAAGAGTTTTTACTATATGAGCCTTGTGATGGCAAAGTGTTAACAAAGTATTCCAACAAATTTATAACAAAATAATACATTCTGCTGTAGCGCCATCGTAAACATTAAATTAAAGAAACGAGCATTTATTTTCTTACAGTAAAAGGACAGGAATGTAAACTTTATTTTTTCATAACACTAGTCTTGAAGGAGGACAAAAGGAAGGTATCACGAAAAATATAATCATACTCATACTGACTTGCCTTCCTTGCACTTCATTTGAAGTCAGAAATATCATCTGTCTAACATTCTTTCTACGCTCTGTCCAAATGTTTTTATTAACCTTTCTTAGCTCCTGGGGGTTTTTTTTCTAAGCTTTAATGTTAACATATCATGGTAAGGAGTATGTTATAATACAATATAATGCTCTTTCAACATAGTTAGGTTATATATAATATATTGGGTTATCATTACTCTCATTTCCTATAAAACTGCCCCATGAGGAGAGCTAAGAAGACACCACAATAACAACTTTAATTTACAATTTTCCCATCAGGATTTAAAGCTACATATATATTATGTGTTTAGTAAGATAAAGAAAATTAATGGGACACTGTTGACAATCTATTCCTCTTCACTTTAATGTCGAATTTTAAAAGTAGCACATACTCATCTCACCTCCTCCTTCGTTATTCTTGAAACTCTCAGGAATAGGTTCAGAATCCTTTCTTTGAACCTACATCTTCTATGAAGAACCAACTCTCTTCCATATCCATTTGTCGAACAAGGGTCTTGTCTTGTAAAAAAAACCTCCAAAACCACCACTGTGTGGGGATACCTTCCCCCAAATGATGTAAGTCTTGCATGCACATATTTAGGAAAATCAATGGAACACAAAAATCTTTTCGTTGTGTATAAATTTAATTATGTACGGGTATGTGTTTTAAATACAAAGAGTATGTATGTATAAGAAAACATTTGGGACCTGAAAATGTGTTCATTATGTGCATGCTAAACTGTATTTGTGTCTAGTACAGCTATAAATGAACAAACCAATATAAAGGACTATACCTACCAGTAGCTACCACGAGCTTTGGGTCAATGACTGGCAGGTATTCCTTACAGAACTTCTCCAGATCCGGTCCTCGGCTCGGGTCATAGTAAGCACTGATGTGGATGTCTGAAATCTACCAGTAGGGAAAAAAAAAGATAACAACAAGTGGAAGGAAATCTTTCAGAAAAAATAGACTGGTCATATACTTTTCACCAGCTTAAAAGATTCAATGATGACAGGCAAAGAGATTCAAACTCATAAAAATGGGGAGGGGGGTGAGTGTCAGTATACATGATGATTAATTATTACATTCTCCATATGTAGGCCTGATGAGAGAGGAGACTCGATATCTCAAGAAGTATGTCAAAATCTAGGCGTGATAAATTAAAGCAAAATCCCTCTGGGCAAGCCTTATCATGACAGAATTATCGCGACAGACTATCAAGTAGACCGAGGTAGAATGCATTGTGGTAGACCATCATGAGAACCTGCAACAAATATATATATAGCCGCAGCCTATATATATATATATATATATATATAATATATATATATATATATAATATATATATATATAATATATATATATATATATATAATATATATAAATTCCAATGCGCATACGCAATCATCGGGTGTACCGGGTGTGAAGCGGACAGGTAATTTGACCTTGGCCTTTCTTGGTTTCAACAATCTGACCAAATTTTTCAACACAAATTAGGAAAAGTATTAGTGACGTCAAGAGTGAAAAACAGTTGCAAAATCTGAAATGCTACACCACAAAGGCAAACAGGGGAAGGGAAATCTGAGCTCAAAGCAGTGAAAAAACATTGGAAATCAAAGTTTCAGAACAACAAATGATTATAACCAATAGGTAGTCTAAACCCGCTTTATTTGACGAGAAAGACAAAATCATTGATCAATTGGAAGTCCAGTTAGAAATTATGAAAAGAAAAGTTAAAACCCTTCCAAAGGGAACAAAAGTCAGTCATTCAAAGTAACAGTGGTCTAAAGGAAAAGCATATATATATATATATATATATATATATATATATATATATATATATATATATATATATATATATATATATATATATATATATATATAGATTATATCATGATATGAGCAAGTCTCAAAAGTTGGTGCCGAAAGTGTGACAAAAAAATCAATTTTGAAATATAACTAAACTAACTGAACCAAAAGCAATCTTATTTCACCAATAATAAGCTGAAGTTTCATTATGTACAAAATTTAAGATAAAAAATCTGACTGTTTTTTATAATGTTAGATTTTCTGGTAAAAAAAAAGGAAAGGACATGATGATGACACAATAAAGTGTACTGTAATTTGCAAGTTTCAATAGGATTTGTCTAAAATTCATCAGGATGATAATAGAAATGGGCAAATCAAGGAAAAAAACATCAAAATAGACCAACTGTTCCAAATTATCTGTCAGATTTCCACTTGGATTACTGTCATACATCATGTCCCTAATGTTTGATATGTAAATTTCTCTTTTATTTGATAACTAATGAAGTCTGAAGAACTCTCTTGAACCCATATGAAGTCATTAGATTTTCGTATTCAGAGACATAATTTTGAGCAAACAAAATAGATGCCATAGAGGTTAGTGAGCGTGCAAATATGCAATGGACATGACATATGAAGTGATGACAGGAAAACATGTCATGTATCATGTCCATTTATCCCTTCATCCTCTGAGCATTTCGTAAAGCATACCCAGGCCCCAAATAGGTTTTACAAGTATACTTTACAGTTTAAATATAAATATGATTGGTATAAAAAATCTGATTAAGAAATATTTTATAGCAATAGTGATATTCGATGTGGATATGATGATGACATTAAACTTTTGGTCATTGATCATGTCCATCCGTTTTGTTTCAATTTTTGCCTTTTTGTTCCTCTGAAGGCTTAAAATTCGTTAAGATGTGCCTCCGTTATTTTTGTCTTCTAAGCAGTAATGAATTTTGCAATATTCTACAACAAAAAGCTGATGAGAATGTAATGGACATGTTGATGACATGAATTTTTTCCGTCATTGCTCATGTCCATGCATGACCAATCTCTAAATTTAAGATTTATGTATGAATCATCAAGTACTTAAGTACTATTATATATGCATCTGGTTCTTACACAGAAACTACACCATGCTTTATTAGATTTATCGAGACCATGACTTGTTTAGCCACCAGACGTAACAATTTAATAGATCTGAAACAGACATGATGTGATGGAAAGTGATGACAAAAAACTTTAGTGCCTCCCTCCACGGTTCTCCATCAGCAGCAATATGCACTCAGTCTCACTCGGGGACATTTATATGGAACTAGTTGATTCATTAAAGCGTATGGTAGCAAAGCCGAGAAGCAAAATACAGGCTCATGAATGGACAAGATGAAAAGACAGAAATAGCGATGAGGAAAAATTTTTTGCTTATAATATAATATAACATCCCCATTATGAGTCAAAACAACTCAACAAGTGTGTTTAAAATAACCCCTTTCGACTTGAGGTAGTGCCCATTTTATTCATATCTTTAAAAGTCTTTAAGTTGGCTTAAAATAGAACAGGAAAATGAAGAAAAACATCATGTTCATTCACCAGACTTGTCACCAAGTCGGGGGTTTTCTGCCCAACAGTTTAGCGCCCAAATGCATGCTTTTCTTAAACACACAACCTTCTACCACAGAAACAACATGAGATGTTTAGCATTTTCCTTTCCTGCATAAAGTTTTACTTTATTAAAATGACCATCTATATAATGTCACGTTTTGACAACTCAAAGTTTTTGTATTTCCACATACATTTTGTAATTTCACTAAATAAAAAATAGCCATTGGAACAAGAAATTCTTTCTCAGGCTAATCTTCATTCAAAGTACTTGATGATACACACAGAAATTTGCACATTATTGTAGCATATTCCCTGCTTTGACGATGAGATGAAAATATGCACTATTTAAACAACCAACTTTTAAGACTTACTCTCATATATATTAAGAAAAAACTATTTAATCCCCCCTTTCCTGTGAGTTTTAAAAATTTTAGGCACGCATTATAAAAGACATTTTTGATAAAGAGAGCTGATGAAACATTACATCATCTTATTCACCACCCTGATTGGTAGTCCATAGTACTCGATGGACTTCAACTAATTCAGGTCATTTCATGCCAAACTAAGAATTTTTTATTGAACCATTCCCGTCATGCGGCTGCTATCCATGCCAGTTAAAAAGGCTTTTGGGGGGGGGTTTATACGCATGTTTTTTGTTGTCATTAGTATTAGGGCCCCCCTTCCTATTCATTGTTACTGAGGCCCCGCAACGGTTTTTTTAAATGCCAATGTCCTGTTCAGGGCACTAAAAAGCTACAAAATAATACCCTTTATATATATAGATCTATACATACATCAACTTTATGAGACGGGAGTGATTCTAGATCTATAAAATTAAAATTACAGAATATATTGAATCTAAAAAATAACTATCCAGCCCTATCCTGAATTCAGTTTATAAAAGCAAAAGAATATAATATAAACATAATCATACTTTACTTTCCTTTCAACATTGACACAAGAATGCCATTAAAACTAAACAAAAATCATACAATGTTGCTCTACCTGTACAATCCAAAAGAGCTTTTTGTTGGATCCATCCATGCTGGGCCAATCTTTCTTTAACCGTGGTTGTCTCTTATATTCATGACTGACTTCAGGGGCAGAATTTGGGTCTAATGCAGACAAGATACTCGACAGAACAACAGCCATTGCAATTCCAACACCGACCAAAAAGACGAGCCATTTCATCATTGCTGCCAACTTTCAGCTCCGTCAGTCGACTGCTATAAATTGAGGTGGACGGTCACAAAGATTGGGACAATGGTGAGAGATTACAAGTACTGTCTCAACTGTCTGATTACCAAGCTCACGGGTTTAGAACAGAAAGGCACATACTACAAATAAGCGGGGGCTTGTAGAAAACATATATAAATATCCTTGTTTCGGGGCTAAAGTTCACCAGTAAGCATGATGAGTAAGAACACTTGCTCCTTTCACTAACTCAACTGCATCACTTCCACTTGAAGTCAGGACACAGCCAGGCCAGAATCACCATTCCGTTAAGGGACGTCACTCTTGTTGTTTTGCCTTCGAACACACAAACAGACAGGGGAGAGCACTCTTAATATTTATTAGCCTTGTTGTAGACTTACATGTTTGATTCAGGCTTGCGATTGGCAGTACAGCCGACCGTTCTGACAGAAGAATTGCACAAAATTGCAGTGGAGGAAGTGCATTGGTTCTAGAGTCTATACGCTTCTTGACATCGTCGGTATTTTGATTCACTTGTTCAACCAGTTTTTGTGAAGTTTTATTCTCCAGTCATGAGCTTCAACCGTATGAAAGAGAAAGTGGAATATGGAGATACTGTTTTGGTTCACGTTGGTTTCGACAACATGCTTCCTTTTATTGTTCAGAAAGGTGTAACCCATCAGACTAAATTTGGAGCGGTGCGACATGACAAACTGATAGGCAAGAAGTATGGAACCAAGTTTCAGTGTCCAAGAGGGTGGGTTTACATAATGCACCCTACTCCAGAACTGTGGACTCTAAGCCTGCCACACAGAACTCAGATTCTTTACACAACTGATATTAGCATGGTCATTTTCCAACTGGATCTAAAGCCAGGCTCAGTTGTTGTTGAAGCAGGTGAGTCATGGGGTGTGTTGACAGTGTTGTGATTATCCAATACTGAATTCAGCATGATAAATCTTCAACAAATGAAAGCCCTGCTGTTTTATATTATATTGGGAAGGACTTCCGTAACAAGCGGCCACCCCAATGAACACAAGAAAGAAGAGGCAGGCGATTGTTAAGATTCCCGCGTTTAATTCCGATTTGCATTTTTCATAGCCTCAGGCATGTTTCGAGGCTTTGGTCTAGGGTTAAGGACCAAAGCGAAACATGCCTGAGCTATTGAAAAACGCAAATTCGGAATTAAACGCGGGAATCTTAACAATTGCATCCTATTGACATGATGATAGAACAGACATGCACAATGTATAAAGTCAACAAAGGGGGGGGGGGGGGGGGGGGGGTAATTAGTAATATCTAAGAGTACATGTGTAATATTATACACTCATAAAATAGGGTATGCGTAATATATTCATATATATTATTATAATTACTTTACTTATAAACACATGTAATGTGTGTGTTCTCATGACTGCACTGTACTGTAGACCAACATTAATCTTTAGGTTTGTGTCCTATATATCTCAACAGGCACAGGAAGTGGCTCTCTGTCACACGCTATTCTCCGCACAATCCAGCCGTCCGGTCATCTTCACACTTTCGAGTTTCACGAAGAAAGAAGTATGAAGGCACGTGAGGAATTTGAAGACCATGGTCTCTCACAGTTTGTCACAGTCACCCACAGAGATGTGTGTGGAGATGGTTTTCAGCTTGAAGGTGTGGCTGATGCTGTGTTCTTGGATCTTCCCCGACCCTGGGAGTGTGTTGGCAGCGCAAAGAAGGCCATGAAAACAGAAGGTTAGTGCTATCTGCTATTTGTCTTCCTATGATTATGATTAGATGAGGAATACAGCCCCCCAAGGATGCTTTGTCACCAGTTTTGTTTAGACTGAACACAAATGATTGCCAAATTAACAACAGTATATCAAGTTGATAAATTTGCCTACAGTTGACCATACTAGGGCTCATCTGGGCTGACCATGATGAAACCTCTTTTGACATTTTATAACAGACTTTTCTGAGTAGTGTAAGCTACTTTTAAATGTTAAAATAAAAACAATAGAACTTGTTGTGGACAATTGAAGAAATAAATGTGTAATCCCTGTTTCACGCTCCAAATCCAAATTAAAAATAAGTGTTAAGCAAATCTCAGGTTTAACAAATTTGTGTTTTTCCATAGACAAAAAAACTCAACTGGTATGTCCACTCTTCTCTTTTGCATTAAGAAGCTCATTTACAGCGACAACCATATACAACAGGCCCGGTAATAATGGGATCCGGTAATAACAGGGATTTTTTAAATCCCCATTTATTCCTACTCTTTGTCTCTATTAAAAGTTATCGGCAATAGCAGGGCCCCATCGGAGCCGAATCGGTTATAGCAGGGACAAAGGCTCGTTGACAATGTGTAAAAAGTAAGACAGAGAGAGAGAGAGAGTGAGTGAGTAACGCAGTGATGGGGCAAGCCCACGCAAGCCACGCCACTGCAAGCACACGAAGCGGGTGAAGCGAGAGAGGGCTGTGGTGTGCTGCAGATTTCAATCTAGACCTAAGCCTAGCTACATGCACGCGTAATGTGTCATGCACTGGCCTGCCACATGGCCAAAGCCCATGTTCGTGGTTACTTGTGGCAAGGGAAACTACCCATGAATAAATACAGTTGGATTAGTCCACAAATGCTTACTTCCCTTGTATTTCTGATTTAACAGGGATCTGATATAGCAGGACTTTTTCTCTGGTCCTACCATCCCTGTTACTGTATATCAGGTTTCCTAGTGATAATTTATTGCTGTTCATATTTTTAATCTTTCTATCATAGAAAGTATTGTCTATTTGTGTAAGACAACGTGGGCCACAAACACTAGATATACATGTATCAAGGTAAGATCAAACTGAATAGATTAATACGGAAAGCGTGCAAAATTTCAACATTTAAATTCTTTTATTTTATTTTTATACAGTATCCAGTATCACTTGCACTTGAAAAATGAATTCCATCTTTTGGAACTGTATTGTTCGTGTATCGTATGTGTGTGACGGTGAATCTGTTTGAAAGTGTAAGCATATTTTGTGTGTATGTGTGTGAAAGAGAAGGTATGTGAGATAGTATGTGTGTATGTTTGTGTGTGTTTGTGTATGTGTGCATGTGATAAGGGAAGGAATTTTTTAAAGTAAAAGTCATAAAATGTTTTTTCACACAAGGATGTTTGCGAAAGCAAAATTGTTTTAGTATCAGTACTGATTTTCTAATTGTTTGTTCTTTTTCTTATTACATTTTAAAACAATTTTTTGTATTTCAAATTTCCAAAAGATTCATTTTAAGAAGTTTCTCGTACATTTTAAATATGTTTTTAAAATAATTTATTTTATGTTTGGCATTCCTTTGCTAGTCTTGGAGATCTTTGACAGTGGATTCTCCTATGCACAGTGCAAATGATTAACAGTATAACACTGACTGATAGGTCGAACACAGAAGACTCGAAATCACACATACATCGAACTGTGCCTGTGGTCCCTTTTTTTTTCTTTACATTTGTAAGATATCCCCCGAACTACTGATCCCTCGAACTACAGAGGCTGACCCTGACAATTTCGAGCTATCCATACTTTAGTTTTACACTCTAGCTTTATAACCCAATTTCCTCTGACCATTATGTCCCTTGGCATATATTATACTTTCACCCAGCCATCATATTTAGTTTTCCTTGGTCTTCTTATAATCTTATAAAGTATATACAGTATAATCCACTTATATCGACATTTTGACATATTTTCCAATTATGGAATTTTTACTTCAATCTTCACTAAACAATTTCTCTTATATCAACTTGTTTTTCGGCCCACTCTGCTTTATGGACATGCTTCTTGGCCTACCTGGCGAAGCCCAGGAACCTAATCGGGGGGAAAAGCCACGTTAGTTCTTCATTAAGTCTGCATATCTGCCAAGTAGCCTATATCGACACACCAGGTTTTAGTAGGTCATGTAAGGCCTACACAGTGTGTAGTCTCCAACACAGTAGAGTGCCTCACAGATGTGAGTGTCTCGCACGCTGGGCATCACCTCCCTACCCCCACTTCCGATCGCTCTCTCCCCTTCCCCATCCCATTCTCAATCTACTTCCCCAAGCATGTCGATATAAGCGAATTATACTGTAGTTTTCCTTCGGGAGTTGCTTGTGATGAATTTTGGATTTTTCCCAAAATGTTGGCCTCAGCACTTCCTCTCTTCTTTTTTGTTTAAATTTTATTTTACTACCTCTAAAATTTAGTAAGTCTTCTCAGTGGTGATTATAAGTTTATAATCCCACATACTTTAGGAGCAAGGTTGTGAAAGACCTTCTGTTCTGTTAGTTATCATTTCTTGAAGCTGGGACTGAAGCTCAGGTCTGCTTTGGCATGAGAGGCTTTTTTCCCCCAATATGAGCCCCTCATTCTAACCATAGATTTTATTGTACTGTACTCAAACAGTACCGGTATGTTGTTTTACAAAGTACATCAGTTGCATGGCCAATGCTTTCTTTCTTACTCTTGTCCATTCGAACTATTGTCTTGCGATGAGGAGTTCTCATAAAAAACCTAGGTGGGTTTTTTTTTTAAGAAATAGATTTTTATGGCTATTTTGCTAGAAATGTTTGAGTACATATAGGCCAACATGTATGTACTGAAAGTTGCCTGCGCCTAATCTATGTACAAACTGTAAAACTCTGGTCTTCACAGGATCAGAACATTTCTTTGTGTGTGTGAAGTAGATTTTATGTAATGGGTTGCAAAATGCACAGTAAAAAAGGAGGGGAAAAAAAGCATGGATCTGAATTCTTTTCATAGTACTTACTTAATAGGAATTTCATCTTAAATGGTTTTCTGTTAGTGTTAAACAGTCTACTTTGTTCATCACCTAACACATCAATGAGCTCGTTGTTTGATAAATCATGGCACTGACTATGCCATCATCTGAAGCTGCTTTATATCAATTTTGTTTGTAGTTTACTCATTGTAAAATGATGAACAAGCAGTTTCCTTACCATCACAATCTCTTATTGAAAGTTATTGCTACCATCCCAGTCAGCAATTATTATCACTACTGTACATATTTTTCCCTCATTGTCGTTTCAGGAGGCAGGATATGTACATTTTCCCCCTGCATAGAGCAAGTCCAGCGGAGCTGTGAGGAGCTGTCCAAACATGGCTTCTCCGAGATCTCCACTATGGAATGCCTTCTCCGAAACTACAACATACAGTTTGCAAAACTTCAAAATATGAACTTTGGTGATGATGATGCTGAAGATTCCAAGACCAGCGTGAAAGATGCGGAGGACCCCTCAGCTACTTCACCAGTGAAGGGAGATGGGGACAGTGGCAAAAATGGAAGTGATGACTGCACACCAGCCAAAGTTGCAAAGCAAGAACCTGAAGTGACTACGCCAAAGAGTTCGAACCCCAAGTCTAAAACAACTGCAGGCTCTTCTGAAGTTTCCTCTTATTGCTTCACCAGTGCTGTGCCAGCTTTGCCCATGCAAGGGCACACAGGGTTTTTAACTTTTGCTTCATTGCTCACACATTAAAGAAGTTCCACTGTTGAATATCTCTTGGATATTTTACTCTTTGTGTTTGTACAGTAAGGATGGTGTGTGGGTGGTTGGCGGGTGCTCTTGTGTGGTTTGCTCCTTTTTTCCTATTAAAAAACTATCGTCTGTATCTCTCCTCCTTTTTTATGTTTGTCACCCCTCTAATCTCAGACTTATATTTATATGACCTTATTGTTTTGCAATTACTGTAAAACTCTTACTAAAACTAAGGATGGTGTGATGCTGTTACTGTTACAATGCAAAAATTTAGCAGATGGTTGGAGGGCGCCACTGATAGATCCTACTTCTTTATTTTTCTCCTGTAGTTTCTGTCTGTCAGACTTACTTGTTTTCCAGCACTTAATGACCATCAATGTGTACATATGTGCTTTTCTCTACTCAAACAAAACAAAGCAAACACTTAATTTTCTCATAACAGTGGTTAGGCTCTCTGACTCGCAATCGTAAGGTCGTGGGGTCGAATCCCATCAGGGGCCCGACATTGTATCCTTGGGAAAGGCACTTTACACGAATTTTCCTGACATCACCCAGGTGGGAATGGGTACCTGGCTATAGACAGCGAAAGATCTTGTCAGTTTGTTAGTGTTTGAGCGCTTATTCAGCTGCTTGCACTGTATGCTTCCCGGGAAGCTGAGAATGTTTCTGAGTGTTCTATGGTCTGCTGGGGTAATAATATAGTGTAAAGCGCATAGAGCCTGCTGTTGAGCGGGGATATGCGCTATACAAATGCTATTTATTACTATTATTATTATAACAAACATGCCTTCTCATTAGAAACAATGTGCTCTGCTCTAGGTCTTCTCCTTTTCCTTACAATTTTACTGCATACCCAAACTTGGTCTCAGAAGTAGTGGACTGAACATTCGATCCACAAATGGTTGCTTTTAAGGACAAGGGGGCAAATAGGCCTATAGATTTCGGGGATTTCCAGAAATCTTGACCAACACAAAAAATGGGCATTGCCCTACCTATAGAAGAAGTTTGGTTTCATTGGTACCGATGTATATTTGCTTGGTATAGAGAAAACTCTCCTCCTCTTTTTTTAATGAAACTGAACAAAGGACAAAAACTTTACCTTCAATTTTCTGAAAACAGCATTTTTCGGGATAGCCCACTTGTCCTTAAAAGTGACCAAATGTAACTTTTGTTCATGTTCTATGTCTTATCTTCCCCATAGGAGGTAGTGCGGCTCCCCTCTCCAGGCAGCCTATCTTCTGCACTTTGCTTTGACCTCGAGCGTCTTTGTTCTTTATTTTCTTCAAAGACTTAATTACAATCCAACACTACATGGTATAAAACAGAACAAAATACGAGTTGAAAGTTAAACTTTAATTCAACGAATAATTACAAGTAGGAACATTTAAAATCACTTACAGCATATATCGCGAAACCAGAATCAACAGCAAGCAGCCACAAGAACAATCACAATCCCTCTCATCGCAAATCTCACTCAGAACAAAGAGTCACGCGGGCTGTCAGGACACAATCATGCAGTGTGATGGAAATATAACACACTGATCAACATAAAAAAACAACCAGCATGCAGCATAACTTTTTAACCCCCCTCAAGTTGTTGATTCACTGGTTATGCCAGTTATTAATTACAAGCAAACAAAAGGGTGAAGATAGCATCTGACAAGAGGGAGTGCAGGACTGAAACCAGCCAAGAATAAAGCTTTTATATGTATGCAATATTTATGAAAACGTCATATGTGAGGCATCATGGTGAAATCAGGCGCTTGTCAAAATAATGAAATCCAAGAAATCGGCATTTTTCTATCAATTTGGAATTTTTGTTTTTTGGCTCAATACCTTGTATGTCCATTCAAAAACATTTTCATGTATGGATTTTTATGGATATAAACGTAGATTAAAGGCACAAAAAAAATGTAAATTTGCAGTTTCCAAGGACCATTTTCTCGCTAATTTTACTTCTGAAACCAGGCAACCCCACCTCCTTCAATCTCAAGTATCTTGACTGCTGTTCAAGATAAATGGATATTTTATTTCATCGAAAGCAAGGCAAATGAACAATCTTTAAGATAATACCAATAGCTCCATGCGCCTAAAAATTGACGAGCGCCTGATCCCACTGCGTTGTGACACACATGATTTCAAATATAACTCTTCCCAGTAACCCTCTTGTGGCCGACTTTTAAAATTAGACAATAAATATTTATATATGGATGGACCCATCAGCCTGCCTATGATTTTGCAATGCACTAGATCTATGTTAGTTAGTGGCATTGAATCAAGTGTTAACCTACTTTTTTGTCTATGGCCGTTACTCGTTCTGAGGGATAAGCTTGCACAGAAAAAAATACAATAATGCTTTTACTTATTCGATCTCTGGACACAAACCAATTACAGTGGAACTCGGATTCAACGAGGTTGCCAGGCCTGAAATAAAATCTTGTTGAATCCGAGTGTTCGTTATAGCAAACACGAGGTTTTGTGTAAATTAATTACAAGCACAGAGCAAGTAATGTGTAAAGAGAAGTCACAAGTAGTGCCTGAAAAGCCTGCACATTATGAGCTGTGTAAAAAAAGAAAAGACCGATTTGTTCTAAATGTACACGCCTGTGTCATCTCGATTGTTTACCAAAAGGTTGTGTTGCTGTGTAGAGCCTAGCATACGGCAACTTTTTATTCCATAGACCAGCGCACAATTCATTACGTAGATCTACGTCAAGACCAGCTTATCATTGTCATATAATCAGCTGCCAGTAAAAAAAAAGACTGACGAGTTTGCATCTGCGACGTTCAACGCCCGGACCGCTAGTGCCCCCCCTCCCCGACATGCACACACAGCCACACATGTGCAGGCCGCCCATCCGACCCTGACACACGCCAGAGTAGACACGTGCGCGTGCCAACAACGCATGTGTTGGTATGAAAAAAGGCCGCTGATTGGTCGCATGCAATCGGCCAAGTGAATAATGGTTCACGAAGCAGGTGCAATGGATGGTTTCCGGGAATAGACAAAGTTCGTTCTGGGGAAAAAATGAGCGAAGCCACATCTGCGGGGACTTTTCACCCTGGAAGTCGGAAGCGACATTGTTGAATCCGAGCTCGCTGATTTAAGTGCTCGTTGAATCCGCGTTATTTTTTATGACTTTAAAGAAGAAAAAAAATGGGGAATCTATCTAACCTAGTTAAATCCGAGTTCTCGTTGAATCAGAGTTCCACTGTATAAAAGACGTCTCACAGTATCAGGAGTACATGATCAGAGACAACAATAATCTTAGTGACTGTGCCTCAAAAGCATGCTTAAACTAAAACTAAGACAATGGTCGGTTCACTTTCTCGTACCCACAGTTTCTCGCACTTCTTTCAAAATGTCTGTAGAATTGTCCTGCTTTTTCGAATACAATCTGAAATAAAATTTTGCCTGAACCGTTATCAGTAACAAGATTTGTTTTTCCTTGGGACAAAACAAATATTCCTGAAAGCCAATAGTAGTTCAAGTAAGTCTGTATCTGCATTCTCAGTAAATTTAGTTGATACGATAAAACTGAAATATACAGGTAAACTCCTGGGCACAAGAAAATGAACGGACAATAAGAAGAACCACAAGAAATGAAGCACCAAACTAGCGATTTCTATGGGCTGTGTCTGGACAAATGGAAAGGCTTTATTAATTAATGCTCACTACGACAGGTCAGGATCAGATACATAAATTATAGATTGTGAACAGCAATGCTAACTCTCTGTTCAGACATGGTCCTCAGCCCAAACAATACAAACACACCAGTGAAAGACCATACCAACAGGAAGACGGATATGCCTCACTTCTTCATATAATATAATACACACATACTAGTAAATTACTGATACATGTTCATAGAATTTGATATCTTCCACAATTATTGACAGGTAATTAATTACTATTAACCAATATATATATCATGTATACATTTTTTTTTCATAATAAGAATAATTTGTACTACACTAAATATCTGAACATAATTTGATAAAACGAAAGCATTTCAATACTGATGTAGAATTCCCACTACACTTTTCATTCTTGTATTTCACTATGTATTCTCTCATGTACATCATGTGTAGTTTTAAACTTGAAAACCAGAGGACTTGAACCACCCCCCTTCTGAAAAAACAACAACCAACAACTGTAGTCCATTGCCAAATCAAACGAGATCCCAAGACTACATGAGTTCTAACACTGTGGCTCAGTTGTTGTAAAACTAAATATTCAACCATTACATCAATGCGCGGGTGCGGTTGTGGAGTGGTTAGTGCACTCATCTGCGAAGCGAAAAGTCCAGGTTTGAGCCTTGGTTCAGACACAGATTTTTTTTCGCCCCCTCCTGCCAACCCAGCGGTAATGGTTACCCGACTTCGAATTGGGAAAGTAAAGGCGGCCACACTACCACAAAATGCCAAAGACCCAGGAAGTTGTGTCACCAACAAGGCAATCCCCAATGTCCGGAACTGATGAGGGAACAACTTTACTTTTTTCATCAATGCAATTTACAGTTTTGGTGGTAGACGATTTCTGTTCTGTCTATTACTGTCGGGTACCCGGATATATGCCAAGGACACAGTCTACTACAAAGACAATAAAAGAGCTACATGTGGCAACCCAACTCGACATCTTACAGTTGAAGAGATTAAACATGATAACAACACCACAGATACCCATCACATTGAGTGTCCCTACAGACTTTCCTGACCTGAAAGTTAAATAATATGTGTCGTTATTATCTGGTGTTCACATGAATATCACTTTTTTATTGAGTAAGAAGAACAGGAAGTGGAAAAAACATTCTTTATGAACCATCACAAAAATTCTAAAAATACATGTTTAATTTTTTTAAAACAAAAGAAAAACAAAACTCCATACACACCCAATATTCCTCCTCTTGTGGGTACAAAATAAACACACAAAAAAGAAATAGAACATGAATTATCCATTACAAAGGTTGTATTCTGTGCACTGCTAGCAGGAAAATATTGTTCTCAATAAGGGCTGAAACAAGGGGTTATTTGTACCGTACTACGGAAGGTTCGTTTTTGAAAGAAATTCCGACATAGTTTTGTGGAACTTTGGGCAGCCAGAAAGTTTGGATTCAAGACAAATCATGCACCCAAGCAAGGGTCTGGCATAGTGCAACTTCATGTATCAACTTACTTGCATTTTTTTCTCTTGTTTTTTGTACCTTTGTAGTGTCTTCCCGAATGTTTTATTACATTTTAAAATATCTAATCTATTAGTATTTGGTGCAAAAATAAATGTATTGTCTTTGATTGGCATTAATTATGAATGCATCATGAAAATATAAAGCAAAATGGGAATACACATGTGAGAGATAGAAGTTTGCCACCAAATGCCATATATGAAAAATATTTTAAATCAGTATACAATTGGGAATAAGTCTTAAATCGCACATAACGCACCACGGAAACTTGAACCATTCATGCAAAAATACAAAACACTAATTAAGAAAATCAATAATTCACCCAGTCAAATAATCTTTCAAATAGCAATAGATATGGATAGATGCTTCATTTTCAAACCGTATTGGCAACTGAAAAATGTTCCATGAACATTTCTTTTATATTGGTAGCAACTGAAATTTTATTGCAAAACAATGAGTTGAAAAACTAATAATACGGATATATGCAAAGAAGTAATAACCAATAATTTTGTCTCCCACCTTATATGTCCATCAATCTTAGCATATTAGAGAGATATATATAATATGCTCATCCAACCCACAAAGTCTGAAAGGAACAAATTCATGTATTCATATAAACAAAGTGAGTACAAGAATACGAAGAAGAAAAAAACGAGACACAAAAGACCACTGAACCAAAGACCACTGAATCCCCCGGCAGTTTTGCCATTAGCATCCTCTCAGACCCAGCACACCAGCAAACTGCTCACAAGTTACATTCACAGTCCACAGTCTACTGACACCTCATAACTCAAGCCTCCATTACAAACAAATTATATGACCACTCACTTAGCCACAGTAGTAAAGGTAACTCTCATTCGAATTCGAAAGAAATTGTTGACGATTGCTCTGTCACTTTTATTACTAGCAAGTGCAAGTGTCATTTCCTTTGTTAGAAATACAAAATTAGTGTACAGCTTCATTATAGTTTGTATTGTTAAGATTTACATACATGATATTAAAAAAGAAAAGATTATATTTGTCCAAATCAAAAGTAATTAAATGGCACAAGCTTTTCCCATGACCATTAAAGCATAGGACTACAGGACCAACCCACAGCACTAAATTCTGAAAGGACAACAGGACCAACCCACAGCACTAAATTCTGCACACAAAAAAGCCTAAAAACAAAGAAACCAAAGCAGTACTGACATAACATAATCGGAGGAAGCAGAAGAGACTGAACTACTGAAATGCTAGCCGTCTCCCTAGCATGTTACTTTACTGATGACAATGCATTTATAGAGCATGATCTTTACAAAGACAAACTGGGCTTTCTTCTACAGAAGAAGACCAATGTGTTTATATTGGGAAGCCTTTAAGATGAGATTTTCAGGTAGCTTATTTCTTGCAACATTAAGAATTTTAAGTGGCACAGATTTTATTAATTTTTTAGTCGAGTAAACTGCATATACGGTACTTGATCTGATTTTACTATACTAAAATGCTCAGCCATCGGAGAAAATTGGCACTTAGAATCAAAACAGTGTTATTACTTTTACAGAGCAGCAATTCTGTGGAAATGGGGCGATTACATCATGAAGAGTCGGCTTCAGCTGTAGTAGGCCTACATGAGAAAGTGCGAGCCAGTATGGTTGGACGTAAAATCTTCACAGTCATAGGAAATGGATGCTTCATAAAACTAAATTGTGTTTCAGGATACTTAACTTGCTGCCACCTAGAAAAATATTGAAAAACTCAGTTCCTGCTTCAAGCCTAAAAGAGTCAGTCACACTCGGGTAATCAAATATATTGGTGGAACCTTCACAAAGTCTAGAAAGTGACAGACAGGTGATGCGGATTATCAAGGACAGCAGTTCAAGTGTGGTCCAGCCTTCTATGTAAATGCTAAAAGAGTCACACAATCGCACAACTGTCCACATTATTCAGACAAAAACTGTAGGCCCTACTTTCTATTGCTCCAGCAACTCTCCTCTCTTTGTACAAGCACGTTAAGAATGAGGACATGGAATTCATAAACATTTACAAAAAAAGGCATACTTCAAACTCAATTTTCTCCCCCCCCCCCCCCCCCCCCCCCCTTCTGAATCTAATGAACCAGATGAATAAAAAAAAATGTCTTGCCTGGTTCTAAGAACTACTGCAGATGTCTCAGTTCCAATTCTCTTCTTGCCACAAAAAGTGATGAGAACGGCATAATAAAAAAAGTAAATTAATTCTCGCCCATTACAGACATCGTCCCTGTCACAAGAGTCTATTTGTCACTTTAGCACAAGAATACATCACCATGCTTTCTGGAAAGTCCCATGAATATTGGTCTGTGGCAGGGGAGGGTGGAAATTGGTAAACAACATCTGTACATTCTAAAAACACAAGAAACAGTTCAACTGGAACCACAACATACAACATTTACCACAGAGAAGCATATTACTACATTTTACCTGAACTGCATGCACCTCACATTTACAACAGGGATTCTAAACCATACAAAATAACACTTCCCTGTAAAGAAATGTTAAACTTGTTATTTTCTTTTAACAGGAATGTTTGACTTTTCATGACAAGTAACTTTAGTGGGGTACCACTTTTAATATTCTCAGTTTCCTTGGTAATCACATGCACAATAAAAAAAAGAACATGTCAATTTAAATAAAGTGAACTTCATTCAGAGCAGGAGCCTCCAGACACTGACTCTATCATCACGCCAAGATGATACTAGTGCACACTACTAGTTTGCAGATACCATGAATATAAGCAATGGTCACTTTCTTGAAAAGCATCACCTCTAAGTTTAAAGTTAAAGAAAATTTCAGAACAGTGAATTTCTCCACATGATCAATTCAGCAAAAAAGTACATACTTAATGTGTATCAAGCAACATTTGCATGAATCTTTTGAGCATGTATTGAAACTTTTTAAACAATCTCTTCTTTACAAATTAAAAAAGGGCACCATTTATGGAGGGAGGAAAAACCAAAGGTTCTCACTAGTGCCTCCCCAACATTTCAGGGTGAACAGAACTAAAAGTTGATTCTTTGCCTTTGTTGATGCACCGGTATTGAAGACCATAAAGTCAGAAACTGGTCCAAGCAAGCACCTACGTTTAGTAACCAGATGGGAAGGCTACAATAAGAAAAAAAATGAAATATTTCTTATCTTTGAGTACAGTAACATGTCAAAGGCGCAAAAAATTTCAGCATGTGGCAATAAGCAAGTATTGTGCACATTTGTGACATAAGGCATATCTCCAAACTCACTCTATGACAATGTGTCCAAAGGCTTAATCATTATTGTAAAGTTTGTTTAAGTCTAAGCTTCAATTTTAACAGCCCACAGGACAGCTTGAAAAAGTGCATGATGCTTTCAGTTCTTTCAGCAAATTATTGAGTCAGACAAATAGTTTGACCAAGGCTCACTTGCACACCAAACACAAGAGTGAGTTTTCAGAAAGAGGAAAAACTCAACAAAAGCCTCTAGCTGTTTGAGCTGGGCAGCATGTTTACAGGAACCTACATCACGCCAGAGAGTCCATAGATATATATTACAACTCAGACAAACAAATGAGGGAATCACATTTATTACTGGTAACATTCATTTACATACTCATATCCTCAAACCTCTGCAATATTCCCACAAAACAGTCGGTAGCAGTATGATACTCTTTCTGCACGAAGTCAGAAACTGACCAACCGATTTTCTGATTACTATTCTGACAAGAAAAGTGTAACAAAAAGAGGAATTTTTTTTCTACCTTTCAAGCATTACCAAATTATTCCCCGAAATAATCAATTTTATATCAAATGAACTCACAACATTACAAGCTTGACCAGATTAAAAATACTAATGAGGAGTTTGACATTTTTGTCTCATGAGAGCATTTTTGCTGAAGTTATAAAGCAAGACCAGCTTTCCAAATACATACAATTAACTCTGATCAAGGACTTGAAAAGTCCACATACATTGTAATAAAGGGCAATGAAATGACTGCTTTCAGATAAGGGACATGACGTTGTGAATAAATGACAGCTTTAAATATGTATATACAGGACGCTTGCTTCAGGCACCCAGGTCTGGAATTTGTTCATAAATTCCACAGCAAGACATATCCTTTGTATCTGATAAAATTGTGGAAATCTTTTCCAACATTCCATCAGTCTCAGACCTATGCACAAGTGATACAAGAAAAAACCCACCCATCACAAAAGAAAGAAAAAATCAGATTTATCACATTGGATTTAGATCAAAAGTTTTCATACCATGGTGGCAGACATTTGAAAATAAACACAAACAGGAAAGGGAAAACAAAGTAGAAGCAAATAATTCTTCCTCAATTTGAGGATTTCCTACCAAATGCAGATAGCAGAACACGTCATGATATTAATATAAAGGGTCCTGTTGTCTGAGTATTTATTTAGTCCATCTTTGAGACTTCAAACTTTTGGTTCATGATTTCTTCATCAGAGTCCAAGGCAGGAAGAAGTCTGAAAAAAACAACAACAAAGATTGGGAAATCAAAAAGATTTAAATCATTCCATATAAAGGGGCAGGGGAAGGCAGTACCCTAGAGGAAAAGTGCTTGACTTTCAGGCCACAGTTCTAGGTTTACTCCTGGGTATGTGCACACATGGTTGCTGCATTATGTTGGTTACTTTTTTCGTCAAGTCAAAGCAAAGGACGGATGTGATCAAGTGACATAATTAGTCTTGTCAGATATGGTTACTGGAAGAAACACATGCGGGTCCCACACAAAACACAGTACACAACGACATCCATTTTTCGTTTTTGACATAATTCACTTTGAGCATTATTATTTCCCACCATAAGGAAACTGTTGCTGTACACAAGAGTATTGACAGAAAGCAAATCAAGGCACTAACAATAGTAAAATAAAGGAAACCAAGAGATGGACCATGCCCATGTCACATATTAATCTTTCTGTTAGTATCTGATGTTCTTTACTATCAATCATGTTGCGGTTCTCACTCCAAAAAGAAGACTCCTATTTCTTTCTTTTTTTTTATAGTAGAGGGTTTTACGGCACTCGCAACTGCATTAGGTCATATGAGCGCCAAGGGGTGGGTGTCAACAGAGAAATCCTTACAGGGAATCAGACTTACTCTGCTCACCTCTCTAGCTTCAACAGCACAAGGTCTGCTTCGACTATAAAGGCACCCCGGAAATAGCAGGAAATTTCAAGGTCGGCATGGATCTGATAAACAGACCTGAGAACGCTAAGCATGAAATGTGAGGCACATAGCTATCAGCTTTTCATTTTTGTATCTCCACAAAGATCATAACCGACAAAATATCGTTTTGCGTTTAACAGAAGCTAACTAGCTATTCTTCAGAAAGTTCACTTACTTGTCAGCCAGTGAAGATGGAATATTTTCTTCAACCCACTTAAGGTCATCCTCCTGAAAACAAACAAGTGAAGCAATGCATGAGACAACACAGAAGTCTACACTCAAAGCAAAAAATGTACCCATAACATTACAAATGATAACATTTAAAGGCCAGTAACTTTCCTGGCATTGGCACGAGTGACTGCAAAGCCCTAGACCATGAAAAGTCAGAAATTCTCATAGCTTGAGTTTCAGAAACTATGTCCTCATATTGTTTTAAATGTCCCTTTTACAAGCTAAATAATCACATTTGAAGGATAAATTGAAACAGATTTAAAAAACAAACAAATAGAACAATCTCGTCAGATTTCTGTCAAAGTACAAACCATCTTTCTCTCTGTGTCCTCAAATCCGCGTGGAGAGCCATTCCTCTGCTGAGTCTTAGTGGTGCGCATCTTCATGCCCTCTGTGGAAAGCAGTAAGTGTCAAATTGTTTTGATACGAGTTTTGCGGCACTTGCAACACAATAAGGTCATATAAGTAAGGGGGTCGTTAGCCTGCTGGTCAGGTGCTTGCCTCTTCAGCAAAAGTATCTGGTTCAAACCCAGGTTTGTGTAGTCATGGACAACCCGGGCCTTTATCTTAAGTAATTCTATATTTTTCAAACTGGTATCCAACAGTGACAAAAAATTATATACAGTGTTGCCTCTCTATAACGACATCGTTTGGACCAGAAAAAATGTCGTTATAGAGAGGCCACGAAGGAGCTTAGAACTAATGGAGCCTCCTCTCTGTCTTTGCGGCGCCACGAGCAGCACGTCGAGGTGAGGAGCAAATATGGCCGCCGACTGTGGTCTAAATCACGAACTGCAGTGTTTCTTTTTATAGAATCTTATTAGGTAGCGTAAACATGGCCCCGCGGGCACTCGCGGCCTTCCGACCGCGTGGTATCGGTGAAATCGGGGTAATTCCGATCGCTGTTTCTTTGCTCTTTCGCTATAAAACACCAAGTGCCATACACCTTGTAAAAGTTCAGCTTTTCCTCGTTACAAAGGTGTAAGTTGTTTTTATGTCCGATTAGTAGGAGCTGGAAAATCGCCGACGAAAGCGAAGCCCCTCGCGGTCGGAATGCGTGGTCGGCCGGTTGAAAAATTGACACGGGTGCATTCAAATGCTTCGCGGAACGAGGAATGATTAAATACCATCTTTTCATTGGCGGAGAACTGTAGAGCTTTAAACGGGCTTTACCGTGGTATGTGTTTTGCCTTTGGCGTCTAAATAGAAAGCTTTTAAAAATACTTTCAAAATGTTTAAAGCTCACTTTTTACCCATAATATGTCAAATACCGGCTTAAAAAATATATTTAATAAAAGATCAGCTTATTTTCTATTAGAATAAAGTAATCAGTTTGAAATTATTTTTTATCAATCCTTCCGCGAGACTCAGAAAGCATGTGACCCCGCACGCGGGGTACACTACAGTATAGAGCTGACTCGCTTGCCGTGGGGCCCGGTGCGGCGCCGGCGGGTCAACGCTCGGTGTTTTTGTTGAAATAACGACAGATCATCGTGTTTGAGGCGATAAAGTACTGATTTGTAATGATCTCAGTCTTGAAAAAAATTAGGCTCAATATATTTGTTATAGTGATTGTACTCTGTTAATGTGGAGATGTTTAGTGCTCTTGGTACTCTTTTATTGTCTGTCAAACATGGTGTTGCAGCCAGTGACTGACTTTAACAAATTTGATCATATTTTAAACAACTACCATTTTCTTAAAAAATAGTTAAAAAATGGTACCAAAATGCTCAGTGGATATAGGCCTTTCAAATGGAACTGATAAATTTGGCGTACAACTACTTTGAAAATTTAGTTTCTGGTACCTAATCTTATCGGGCTGGGCCATGTTGTGGGGGTGGGTGGGGTGGGCGGGGTGGGAGAATGCACGCAAGGAAGAGGGGATGGGGCT